GAGAGAGGACGAGCGCCTCGCGACCCTCGACGGCAGGGCCTCCTCTGGGACGCCCCAGACGTGGACACGCCTGCTCCGCCGACGTGACGCGGCTGATTCAGCACAGGAGGAGGGTGGGGGGGTGGCCCGTCGGCACCAAGAGGCTGGCGTCACGTCTCCTGGCCCTGGCCCCACCGCCTGGGCTCTTGGATGCGGCCCTTTTGCACCCCGAAGGGGGGCGCTGGCCCTTGCAGCTTCGGAAGAGGGAGCGCTGGTGGCAGGGGCGCTGTCGATCAGCCTGGGCCTGGCCGCGCTGGCGCTACTGTTCGATGGCAACTCATGGGACCCTGCCATACCATCCTGTCGGCTTCTGCGAATCGTCGCGAATCGACGCCAACCGATGCGAATCGACGCTGCGTCGACGCTGCGTCGACGCAAGCCGGCACTAAACTGGCGCTACCGCATCGGCTCCCAGAGGCTAGTCGACGCAAGTCGACGCTAAAGACGGAATTGCGAGGGCATGTCAGGCTCGCATGATTTGCTACCGGACTACTGAGCGCCATCATCTTGCCGCCGCTGGCTTCTTGGAGGGGCCACGCACGCAACGCAGGACCACCTCGGGGCCGAGTCCAGCCGGAGCGCGGGGCCAAGCCGGGTCTGCATGGAGACGTGGCGCGGCGTCAGTGTCAGTGTCAGTGTCAGTGTCAGTGTCAGTGTCAAATTGTTTGTGTGCGCGTGCGCGCCTGCACCAGCCGCGCCTCGATACGGGGACCGCGGCGAGGCCCCTGGGGTGCGAAGATACACACACACGCACACACACACACACATGCACACGCACACACGCACGCACGCACGCACGCACGCACGCACGCAGCCAACCACGACCTTGCTCGTGACCAGGAGGGCGTGCTTGAGCGGTACGGCTGAGGACGGCATGGCCTCGCACCGCCCCCGTGCGAGGCCGAGGCCGACAAGCGCGCGGAGCGAGACATCGGCCTTTGCTGCTCGCGGTGGGCGAGGGTGTTCCGAGTGGAGAGCGGGGGCCTCTTCGCGCTTGCGCCCAGGCGCGTGGGAAACACCGGAGGAGCCCGATGGGCTTTCCTGCAGGACTGGCCAGCGTGGCGACCAGCCCACACGACGCCGCTCCCAGCAAGAGCCACCAGCTCCCCACAGGCCATCCCGAGCGTAATGAGCGCCCGTGAGGAGGCGTCGCTGAAGCTAGATGCTCGTTCTGGGGACCTCCCTGGAGCCGCTCGCTCTACTCGGCCGCCGATGCTGCGTCGAACGTCCGCGGACCGTGAGTCGAACTTGAAGCGAACCAGAGTCGCACTGGAGCCGAACAAGTCCGTTGGAGCCGCACCAGAGCCGCACTTGAACCGCACTTGAGCCGCACTCGAACCGCACAGAGTCGCACTTGAGCCGCACTAGAGCCCCAGGAAGGTTCTCCAATCTAGCATCTGACTGAGGTGATATGTAACTATGGTGCCCCCATCGTACTTCCGGACCACGCCCCCAGAGATGATTTCGAGCACCCATAAGACAAAGGTACCGAAGCAGTGTCGAAAGAGTCTGGCTTCCCGGGGCCCGACACTTGCAAAAACACTCCAGTCTCGGTACGTCCTCGGTTCTCGATCTTCTTTCTGGTGGTCAGGTCGAAATCTGGTGAGAAAACCGTAGATCTACAGGCACCGCTGCCGAGTGTGACCCGCGCTTTGCGCGCGCGGGCCTCCGAGGCGCGGCTGGTGCGGCCGCGAGAAACTGCCGCTCCTGCGGCCGTGCGGCGCCTGGCGCGGTTGGGCGCGCGAGGCGCGGGCCGCGCCCGCCACACGACCTGTGCTGCTGCTGTTTTGCCCGGACACGACACCTGGACGGCACGACCCAAAGGAAGGCGCCCAGGGTGCCTGGGCGACGGCAGGGGGGCGCACCCCGACAGGAGGGAGGAGGAGGAGGAGGAGGAGGAGGAGGAGGAGGAGGAGGAGGAGGAGGAGGAGGAGGAGGAGGGGGAGGAGGAGGAGGAGGGGGAGGAGGAGGGCCCCGAAGTGAGGGCCGCGCCGCCGCAGCACTCGTGCGGGCGCCGACCGCGGGCGCGTCGAGCAGCGGCGCGGCCGCCGCGGCGCAGACTTCGGGCGCGGCCGCCGAGAGGCCGCCGCCCGCCGCGAGGCGCCGAGCCGCAGCGTGCGCGCCCCAGGACGGCCGCGCCAGCGCCGCCGCAGCCACCACGCGACCAGTGCCCACCACGAACACCGCACGCACGCTCGCACAACCATGGACCATGGCTTGATCACGACATCATGGCGGTGCTGATGATGCTGAGCTGATGATGCTGATGATGCTGATGATGATGAAGATGAATATGATGATGATGTTGCTCATGATGATGACACTAATAATGATGATGATGATGATGATGATGATGATGATGATGATGAGGATGATGATGATGATGATGATGATGATGATGATGATGATGATGATGATGATGATGATGGTGATGATGATGATGATGATGATGATGATGATGGCGGGGCCGACGTCGACGGCTGGAGATTACGCCCAGAGCGCCTGGGACCCGACTTACTTTACCGGAGCCCCAGGCGGCGGCTGACATGGCTGTCTGGCGAGGAATATGAAGCGAAACGCCTGGCCCGCCCTTTCGACCGGCCTCGGGGTGCGACCAGGAGGCATTACCTATACGGGAAAGGAGTTGACGAGGAGGAGGAGCAGGGAAGAAAAGGAGCAGGGAAGAGGAATATAGAGGAGGATGGAGAGGAATATGGAAGCCCTGGACCCCAAAAGTTGTCAGCTATCAAGGGCGCAACGTTTACTTCTTCCAGCTGCCTCTTTGCGTGTGCCAGCTTCCGCCGCCCTTGCGCCTGGGAAGAGATGCCCACATCTTCTTCGACCCCTCGAAGGCGAGGCTGGATGAAGAACGAATGGCATATACAGAAACTTTCGACGGTCCGCGCGGATTTGATGGATCTGCGCTGGACCCCCTCCCTGGCGCGCGGAGCGCGCCAGGCGCGGCGCCGGAGGTGGCGCCAGGGAACCCCAGCGCAGAGTCAAGAAATGAGCGCGAGCCGCCTCACGTTGATGCTTATGCCGCATGTGCCGCTGCATGGCCCTTTCTGGAACGCGCTCCTCTCGCCACCCCAGGGCCCAAGACTGTCCACATCCACTGCCGCAGTGCGGTCCTTGGAAATCGCCCCCCGAGAGGGGGTGGGCGCGTGTAACTAGAAGCTCCGGTCTCGGACACCGGCAGCGCGGAACGAGTGAACCAAAAAGCCCCCCGAGTCAGGGTGGTTCGAGCCCGGGCGGCCACAGGAAATCGGAGTGGACCATTTAGGAGGTAACTACTGGGAGGTCTTCGTCGGAAGGATTATGATTAAGCCCCATTGGGGGGCTGCTGCGCTGGAGGGGGCCTCGGATTTAGCGGGATTCAGCCAGATCAAACGGGATTAAGCGGGATTTAGCCGGATCAAGCGGGATCAAGCCAGATTAAAGCGGATTTCGGACCAGGGCAAAATCAACATTTGACCTTCCAGGAATTGCATCCGAAGGTCATTAAAGGGACAGAATCACGGCATAACTTTGCACCTTCGACGGTCCGCGCGGAGGTCCTGGATTTGGGCTACAATTAAGTCGGGCACGTCCCCCTGCAGGCGGATTTTGGACGAAGCATAGAACATAGTCAAAAAATGCTCCACAGACTATCTCAGGTACAACGCACGGTACGCACGGTACAGGCCCGACTTCAAATTAGGGAGCAAGCGCACGGTACCGCAGGTTTGCGTCGTGTCGACCCAGGCGATGGTTTTTGACACCGCGGGAATCGTTCATCCTTGAACGATCGGCCGTTTCCGAAACGCCACATCGTTGAACATCGATCGATTCTGGGTCGCCGTCGGCGTTCAACGTTGAACTCCGGCGGCGGGGTCGCCGCTGGTCGACACGACACGAACCTACCGTATAGACTTACCCTTTCGACGGTCCGCGCGGAGGCCCTGGACCTGGGCTGGACCCCCCGCCTCGGTGCGCGGAGCGCGCCAGGGGCAGCGCCGGAGGCGCGGCCGGGGGGGGCCCCAGGCGCGGCTCCAAGCCATCCGCGCGGGCCGTCCAGAGCTTGCGTGTATGCAGCTCTTTAGACGAGCGCGTTCCGCTTCTCGCAGGTGCCCGGGATCCGCCGCGGGGGATCTACGGTCAATTTCGTCGAAACCAGAACATGATTATTTCCGGACGTTTGCGAGCAGGCACTTTGCGAGCAGAACGCGCTCGGCGACTCTTTGCCCTTCGAACTATGCTTGGGGGGTCCCAAAGTAGGGGCGGTAACAGACCGTGCCGCCCGAGGAATCCATGGAGAACGAACCCAAAGTTCCAGCCGTGCGGCCACCCCGAATCCCCACTGACTCACCGCACGGTGTGGTAGGCGCGCCGCTTGGGGGCATCGGTTCCAAACCGATTTCGGTGGGTTCCAGGTTCCCGGGTTCCCGGTCGATCTCCTCATCGATAACTTTATCGATCTCATTTCAAACCATCCAATGATGGGGGCTTCCCTCTGGTGTAATTTGGACCCAAAAGCGCCTGGGTGCACGAGACGCCCTAGAGGAATTACACCATAGAAAAACCCCAATCAGTGGATGGCTTGAAATGGGATCGATCAAAAGATCGGTAAGGAGATCGACCGGGAACCCGGGAACACCCTGGAACCCGGAACCTACCGAAATCGGCCCGGAACCGACAACCAAGGCCCCGGGAACCCGGAACCGCGAGCCCGGGAACCCGACTGGGTACCAACATCGGCGGGCAACTTCCGCCAAATCCTTTCATACCCGCTAGGACTTTAGTGCAAGCACTGATCGGGGAATAGCCATGGAAGGACCCGAGGATCAGATGCGCGTCCTCTTCCCGAGTGTGGCGACAGGCTCGGGCGCCCTGGTACTGCTGGGCGACGTCGCACACCCGCGTGCCCTGCCGCCAACTGTTGGCTGCTGCGATGCGATCGAACTCTCCGTGCTGTCTTCTTTCACGACGCGAGGGGGTCAGCCCAGGTCGGTGTCAAAAGCCCCGCAGTGCGCAGCACGCCGCCGTCCAGTCGAGCAGAGCCCAGGTTGGCTGCACGCAAGAGTGGCGCTCTGGGCAAGACTGCCCTGACCTTTGGAGCGCGGCTCTCGGGAGCCGCTGGGGGCTGGGGGTGGGGGGGCACCGGGGGGAAGGGGATGGCAAATCCAGGCGTGTCCTCCTCCACCTCCTCCTCCACCTCCTCCTCCTCCTCCTCCTCCTCCCCCCCCTTTTTTTTCTCCCCGTCCTCCTCCTCCTCCTCCTCCTCCTCCTCCTCCTCCTCGTTCTCCTCCAGATATGGAGGAGGTGAGGGGGTCGGGGGGGGCACCAGGGGTGAAAGACCCCTGTGCGTCCGCCCCAAAGGTCACTCTGGCGAGGTTGGGGAAGCAAAGCCTTAGGATTGAGGCGCCACTGCGGGGGACCCGTCAGCGCGTCACTCTGCCGACGGAGCACCAGGCCCCCCGACGAACAGAACGAAAGAGCAGCACGCTCGTTCACGGGCCTCCACTGGGGGCGTGTCATTGGCAGTTCCTTTTCAAACCTCCCGAGGGGCGCCACTCTTGCGCGCAGCCAAGCAGGGTGCGGAAAGGGAGGCTCGAGGCTAGTCCCCAGCGCCCCTCCTTGGACGCCCCCGAGCCGGAGGGTGCGCGGGCGCTCGTCGCAGGCCGGGATCTGGCCGCGGTCCCGCCCCGCGGCTGGCCCGCCGTTTGGGCGGCCCCGCGGCCAAGGCATGCTTCCGCCAGCCCACATTGGCGGGAGGCGGAGAAAGAGAAGGTTCTCACAACTGCCAAACGTACCCATGTCCGCTCTTCAGTCGGGCGCGTCCCTCTACAGATGGAATCTCCAAAAGTAGCTCACACTTGTCTAGGGGCGATGTTTCGATCCTTTTCCCACGACTAGGGGGGCATTGTTTTGTATTTTTCATGTTTCGTCCCAATCCGCCTGTCCGAGGACATGCCCGACCTAAACCCACGCCCTCGCGGTCTGGACTCAAACAGGGCTAGGATCGGGATAAATCGCTCCAGAGCGTTCCGGAGCGCTCTCAGAGCGTTCCGGAACGCTCTGGAGCGGCCGCGGCGCCCAAGACATCCTCCAAACCCGCCGATTCTCAGAGTTTCCGAGATATCCCGATCCGATGTTGTCCCGATCTTCGCGTCGTTTTATGGACTCCGGGGGCGCGATCCCGTGGATGCGCTGTGCTAAGGGCTGTGTGCCGCGCGGGGGAGATCCGCAGACGGGCGCCCCATCTCCACGCGGGGGGGCGGCCCGGGCGCCCGGGCCGCGAGGCCGTGGACGCGGACACTCCGGACTTCTCCACGAGCGTCGGGGGGGGGGGGGGGGGGGCGTCACCCCCGCCGACAAGCCCACGTCGACCCCCGTCGCGGGCAGCTGCCGCGCGTCGAAGGCGCCCCGACCCCCGCCGCGGCGCGACGACGAGGCGAGGTTGACCGCCGTCGGGGGGGGGGTACCCCCGACGCCTATTGAGAAACTCAGGGTATGGTTTCTCCGCTCACGAGGCTCTTGGATCGAGGAGGCGCGGGCGGCGAGTCGGTTCTGTTAGGGCACCTTTGGCCCTCAGCGGGGGACCTCCAGGACAGGTGGAGGAGGAAGCGCAGACGACGAAGGAGGGGCAGGACATTATAGGAACAGTGGGCGCAGGAACACGTGCGTCATGCCCTGGAGCCAATAATACCATGTCCTGGGCCTGGAACTGGAACCGCAAAACGTACGATAGCACGGCGCTGAGATATACACAAGCAGACTGGGGAAGCAATGTGCCTGCAGGCATGCGCGCGTGCGCACGCATCATCGACGATCACACAATGTAAACACGTGCGGCGCACTCATGGGGCAATGTGAGAGGAGCCAGTGGAACGATGGAGGACTGGAGAGGAGCCGTGAGGAATGAAGGAGGGGCCACGGAAGTGAAGGAAGGAGGAAATCTGATGGCGATCAAGACAGGGATCAGAAGGCGAATCAGGAGGACACCGAGGGGGAAGAGTAGGAGAAATACCACTGTGAGAAGAAGAGGATGACGAGGAGGGCCACCACATCGACAGCGAGGTAGACAATGAGGCCGAGGATGACTACGACGACCAAGAGCACACTGACGAGGATGAGTAGGAGGAGGAGGCGGAGGAGAAATACGAGAAGGGGGAGAAAAGGAAGGAGGCGCACGCAACCGCAACTGCTGTCAGAGAAACGGAAAAACAGAAACACAAAGGACGACGAGGAGGACGCAGACGAGAAACGGGATGACACCGACGAGGATGAGAAGCAGGACGACGGGAGGAGCAGCACGACGGACGGGCGGACGGCGAAGGTCATGCTGGGGAATGCTCGGAGGATAAGATACGATAAGACACACACTCACGACCCATGCCTGCCTGCCATCTCAAATCTGCAAGGAGAAGAACAGCGTCCTTGAATAATGCTAGGAGGACAAGGAGTAGGATTGGGATGGGGAGGAGGAGGAGCAGGACCAGAAGGACACGAACGAGCATGAAGACGATGACGACGAAGAGCAGGATGACGATAACGAGAACAACGGTGAAGAGAGCGAGACGGAAGTGGCGGACGACAACGAGGACGAGAACGAAGTCCAAGAGAAGAAGCATGAGAGGAGGAGCCGGACGAGAAAAATGACGATTAACAGAGCTGAGGACGAAGGGAAGGGCCGAGGACGATGAGGAATACGACGGAGCAGACTGATGATTGCAACGAGGATGAGACAGATGACGACGATTGGGACGAGCATGACAACGATGAGGCCGAAGCTGAGAAAGGGGGAGCAGGTGCACAAGTAGGAGGCGCATGATAAGGCCACAGATGAGGGGGAGGGCGATGAATGGTTGAACGACTGATCGCCCCGTACAGTCTGCATGTGTGTGACCTGAACCGACGACGTTCTCCGGGCTCCTCCGCTGTGTCGCTGCGCGCGAGGCCGCGACGCCAAAAAAGGGGTGTGTCTGTGCGTGTATGTGTATGTATGTAAATGTGTATGCGTGCGTGTGCGTGCGTGCGTGCGTGTTTGTGGCGTTTCTGGCCGCGCGCGTGTCTTCGCCCGACTTTCTACGCCGCGCCGCTGCGCGCGTGACCGCGACGCCAAACATATTGCGCGTGCGCTGTAAATTTCGACGCTGCGCGCGAGGCCGCGACGGCGAAAGTGCGCGTGTGTGTGTGTGTGTGTGTGTGTGTGTGTGGGTGTGTGTGTGTGTGTGTGTGCGTGTGTGTGTGTGTTCGTGTGTGTATATATGTGTGTATGCGCTTGTGTGTGAGCGAGTGCGTCCTCTTGAAGCAGGCGCCAAAAACAGCCTCCATGGTGGGGGGGGAGGGGGTGCGAGGGCCCGCGCTGATCGGCAAAACAATGAAGAAGACAACGACAGCTAAATGTACCGCTGCTTCGTTGGAGCTTCATTTGTCAACGCCGATCCAGGCATTCACTCCCGGTCGATAGTTAGTTTGAAAGCGAGATGCCGAACGATCGTGCCTGCTTTAACAGAAGTGTCGGTTGCAATGTACTCCAGCAAAGACTGAGAAGAACGACGCTCCTCAATCTCCTGCGTTCGACCTCCTGTGCTCTGCCGTGGGAGGGGACAGCCTCCTCCACAACTGTAAATTCAAATTCATCCCCGGCACGCACTCGGACCAGCCGGTGGCGTGTGCTCGAGTAGGCTTTGCCTGGAACCATCCATGTAGTCTTCAACTGAGAAATGAGATAATGGTGCTGCTGCCGCTGGCTCGCAGATTCACCAGCATATTGCATTCCATCTTTTCGGGGTGTTTGGGTGTTTGTGTGTGTGTGCGTTCTCTGCTGTCCCAGAAGTGTCCTCAGCCGCTGATTGGAGTCACCAGCGCGTCGGAGGAAAAAGCGCATGTGTTCTCTGTGTGCTGTGCGCATGTGTGTACATGTGTCCCACGTGCTGTGTGTTGATGGGTTGCGCGTGAACTTGGAGAGCCTTCGGCCCTGGCTGGTGCATCCTGGCGCTCTGCTGGACCGCCTTCGACTCCCGGAGCCCTCATGGGGCCTCTTGGAGCCCAAGGTGCTAATTCTGCGAGCCTCCTGTGCTCTCATGGGGGCATGTCCTGGGCTCTTTGGAGCACATGTGGCACTGTCGGGCAATCTTGGGTATCTCTTGGGATCCTCCGGGCCTGCTTCAGGCCATGTGAGAGCGAGTGTGAGACAACACGTATGCCCAATCCTCTCCCGAGCCAGAGAGCATTGGAATTGTTGAACGTTTGGGGTGTCGGGTCCCGAGAAAGAAACATAAACTGACAAGCTATGGGGAACCGTGGCACCAAGAGACATGCGTACGCGTGCGCACGGATACTACCCCAAAGCCGCATGGGGCCACACCCAGTGCCGTTGTTAGGAGACTTCTGAGGGCTTGGGGATCTCCGAAGCGGAGGGACGACGAAGAGGAGGATGGGTGAGGGAGATGGGGAGATGGGTGGATGTGGAAAGTCAGAGGCGGGACGGAGGAAGGAGAAAATGACGCGAAAAAAAAAGCCGAAGATAACACAATACTGCGAACGGCTCAGACGTCCACGACCTTCCGGCATACTTCGCTCACGGCCTCCTCCTCTCCGTGGTCGTCCTCCCCAAGGAGCCCTCCCACGAGGAAGCCCGTATCTTTCAGGTTTCGAGCAAAGAAATTCAAGTATGGCGTGCCCCCCACGGTGCGACCGTGAACCACCTTCGGCTGGCCAGGCATGGACCTGCGCACAGAAAGCCTCTCCGCGATCCGACAGCAGCGGAGGCCCCCTGATTTGGGGCGTCGAAGACGCCCTGGACTACCCAGGGCCCTGGGGGCCCACTGAATCTCGGCGGCGAGCGAGGAGGAGAAACGAGAAGGAGAAGGACTTCTCAGAAGGCGGCGGGCCTTCTCATCAACCCTCGCGCCTTCTGACAAGTCTTTCTTTCTGTCGTCCGGAAAGCCTTCGCAAACTTCTCAGAAGGCCGTGGGATTGCAGAACCTTCTGAGGAGGCCTTCTCCTTCTCACCTCCCCCCTCGCTCGCCGCCGAGAATCTGCTACATGCACAAGTGACCCCAGGCAAGAGTGAGCCACGGGGGGTCAATGGAGGCAGAAGCCCAAGCGCGCAAGCCGCTGCCATCGCGCCACGCTCAGCGATCGGGGGTCCCCCGTGGGCGCGCACCAACGCCCAGTCTGGCGAAGGGTCACCCCCACGCGAAGACGGTTGGGGCTGGTCTAGGCTGCCTCTGGGGCTGTCGGTGCGCAGCCCCAAGCCCTGCCACCTTCAGTTGAAGCTTCCCAAATGACATCCACCGCGAGCCGCTGTGGGGCTTGCCAGTGCCCGCGACGAAGAAGAAGCCGAGCCCGTTGGCATCGCAGCAGGCGTGGGCCTTGGCTTCTGCCCACTTCCCCGTGATGTTGACGCTCGTGAAGTATGTGTCCGCACAAGCGCCACCTCTTCGAGGATGGACAGAACCCCCTTTAGTAAAACGTGGTTTAGTGATAACGACCTCGGGCCCACACCTGAAGGGCGCAAGCCTGAAAAATGATGGCCGCCGCCCTCTCGAGAACAGAAAGCGAGCAATTCACTAATCGACGTGTCAGGGTGGGGGCTCTGTCCACCCCCGACCTATACGCTCGGCGTCGCCCTCCACCCGGAGCAGCGTATTTGATGGGCGCGCGAGGTAGGGCACGTGAAGGAGGACGTGGGTTCCAGTTTTCATCAGATCGAAGTGCTGCCCCTGCACATTGACCAGGTGTGGGTCACCAGAGGCGCTCACTCCACCTGCTGGGGCCGAGCCAGCTATGCCCGAAACCCCGGAAACTCCAGAGACCCCTGCGGCTGCGGCATGCGTGGGAATATCCGGAATGGAAGCTACGGCAGCAGGCATGGGAATATCTGTGATCTCTGGGATCTCTGGAGCTCCAGGAGACGGCGCAGCTGTCGGGGTGGCTGTCGGGGTCGCTGTAGGCGAGATGGTCGGCGCTACTGTCGGTGCTTTCGTTGGTGTCGCGGTGGGAGTACCCGTCGGCGCCGCCACTGGCGCCGCTGTCGAAGAAGCGGTCGGTGCCTTCGTTGGTACCGCAGTCGGCGCAGCTGTCGGCGCGCTGGTCGGCGCAGCTGTCGGCGCGGCTGTCGGTGCAGCAGTCGGCGCAGCTGTCGGGGAAGCTGTCGGAGCAGCTGTCGGCGCGGCTGTCGGCGTCGCTGTCGGGGAGCTGGTCGGCGTTTTTGTGGGTGTTGCAGTCGGCACAGTGGTCGGCGCAACTGTCGGCGCGCTGGTCAGCACCTCTGTCGCAGCGGCTGTCGGTACTGTTGTCGGCACCGCTGTCGGGGCAGCGGTCGGAGCAGCTGTCGGCGCGGCTGTCGGCGTCGCTGTCGGGGAGCTGGTCGGCGTTTTTGTGGGTGTCGCAGTCGGACTAACTGTCGGCGCAGCTGTCGGGGAAGCGGTCGGTGCCTCTGTTGGTGCCGCAGTCGGCGCGGCTGTCGGAGCAGCTGTCGGCGCCGCTGTCGGCGCAACTGTCGGTGCCGGAGTCGGCGCAATTGTCGGGGAAGCGGTCGGTGCTTTCGTTGGTGCCGCAGTCGGCTCAGCTGTCGGCGCGCTGGTCGGCGCAGCTGTCGGCGCGGCTGTCGGTGCAGCAGTCGGCGCAGCTGTCGGGGAAGCTGTCGGAGCAGCTGTCGGCGCGGCTGTCGGCGTCGCTGTCGGGGAGCTGGTCGGCGTTTTTGTGGGCGTTGCGGTCGGCACAGTGGTCGGCGCAACTGTCGGCGCGCTGGTCAGCACCTCTGTCGCAGCGGCTGTCGGTACTGTTGTCGGCACCGCTGTCGGGGCAGCGGTCGGAGCAGCTGTCGGCGCGGCTGTCGGCGTCGCAGTCGGGGAGCTGGTCGGCGTGTTTGTGGGTGTCGCAGTCGGACTAACTGTCGGCGCAGCTGTCGGGGAAGCGGTCGGTGCCTCTGTTGGTGCCGCAGTCGGCGCGGCAGTCGGAGCAGCTGTCGGCGTCGCTGTCGGCGCAACTGTCGGTGCCGAAGTCGGCGCAATTGTGGGGGAAGCGGTCGGTGCTTTCGTTGGTACCGCAGTCGGCGCAGCTGTCGGCGCGCTGGTCGGCGCAGCTGTCGGCGCGGCTGTCGGTGCAGCAGTCGGCGCAGCTGTCGGGGAAGCTGTCGGAGCAGCTGTCGGCGCGGCTGTCGGCGTCGCTGTCGGGGAGCTGGTCGGCGTTTTTGTGGGCGTTGCGGTCGGCACAGTGGTTGGCGCAGCTGTCGGCGCGGCTGTCGGCGCAGCAGTCGGCGCAGCTGTTGGCTGATCGGTCGGTGATTGGGTTGGTGCCGCAGTCGGCGTTATTGTCGGCGTCGCTGTCGGCGCGGCTGTCGGAGCGACTGTCGGCGTCGCAGTCGGACTAACTGTCGGCGCAACTGTCGGATATGCGGTGGGCACGGCCGTGTAACACGAAAGGCTGTTCTCTCTTGCAAAATAAGACGACGTCCCGGATATGGCGAAATTGCGCCCCCACGTCTGGACGTACTGCTTGGGCTTGTCCGTCAGGATTCTGAACGCGAGACTGAATGCATTCGTGTTGGAGAACTCGGCCATGAAGCATCGCTTCGCCTCAGGAGGACGGCAGCTCAGACACCGACGTCGACCCTGGCCAGGCCAAACCTGGGCCCAGGACCAGTGTTACGCCCACGTGGCCAGGCCGGGTGTGGAGGGCGTATTCACCGATCTTGGGCTTCTAATGGGCCTGGCCAGGATTTGCACGTGTGTCTGGCTGGCGTTATCCGATCGCCTGGTCTACAGTGGCCGACGTTGCGTCTGGGCAAGTGATGTTGACGAGCTGATTCACGTCCGCTGGATTGTCGCAGCCGTGGCCGAACATTTTCGACGTTGCCCGAATCCCAAACGTTCCTCCGTCGGCGGAGGTGTATCTCAAGGAGTTCCTGCCCGCAACCATCGTTCGGATCGACTCGGTGGTATAGGTCAAGGGAACTGGGTGTTCGTCGTCAGTAGTACCGTGCTCATACAGCTGCATTGTGAAATCGATGTCGTCGTCGACCGTATAGACGGCGCTGACCCCGTCGATGGTCAACACCTCGTTCTCCCCGTCGGTGTAATGATCGATGTCACAGAACGTGAGCTTTGGCAGGTACGGCGTCTGCTCGCAGAAGGTATGGTTTCTCACGAACTCTGCCTGCAGATGAACCGTTTCCCCAACAAGGAGATTCACTACCGCCTGGTCCCCGTGGACTTTGTTCCAGTTGGTGTTCCTTGGGGCTTGGCTGGAACTAGGTCGGGCGTGTCCCTCATACAGGCGGATTTTGGACGAACAAGCAAACATACCCCAAAACTGCACCAAACAATATCCAGGAAAATGGCCAAGAGAATCGTCCCCAGACAATGTTTTGCCTACTTTCGAATCGTCTCTCGGGTCGGGCGAAAGGGGGGGATAACAAAGGGGGGGGGGGAGAATCAGCTCACGTAGCTGATTTTCCCGGCGCCTCCCGGCGCCGGAGGCGGCTATGTATCGAGGAATGGGCCCCTCGGTGAGACCGAAACCAGCCCCCTCTTTCCCAATCCCCCCCTTTCGCCCGGCCCGAGTCCCCCCCGTAGAGGGACAGGCCCGACTTGCCGCCGGAGGGGGTCCACGCGAGTGGCTCGCCCGGCGCGCGCCGGGTGCCTCGTGCCGCCGGCGGGGCGCCCCTCGGGCGCGCGGGGCGCGCGCAGCCCCCTGGGCGGATCGTGGGCGCCCCTCGGGGCGCTGGCGGGGCCTGCGGCAGGCGGCACGGCGGGGCCAGGACACAAGAACGCCCCCCCCCCCCCACCGAAAGGCCCAACGAGCCGCAGCGTAGTGCACCAGGAGGCATCTGGCGTGGGCTTTCGCACGGCAATCGCTGCGGCCCCCGACGGGCCGCAGCGCAACGCGGAGGGCCGGAGGTGGGGTGGTGTCGCTTGTTTCTGTTGGCCGAACAGCGCAGCATGTGCCACATACTCCGAGATTCTGAATAGGCCTCGGGGGGGCGTCGCCCCGGCCGACACCCCCACGTCGACCCCCGTCGCGGGCAGCCACCGCGCGCCAAAGGCGCTCCGACCCCCGTCGCGGCGCGACGACGAGGCGAGGTTGACCCCCCTCGGGGGGGTACCCCCCACGCTTATTAAGAGACCCAGAATAGCTTGCACCATGTAGCTTTCACCACTCGGCCTGCAACCGTTACACGCAAGTATCTATATATATATATATATATATATATATATATATATGTATATATATATATACACATGTCTATATATATGTAGTATAGCGTATGTGCATCATGGCGTGCGCCGCGTGGATCGCACCCCACACAGCGTACATCCCATATAATTTATATATATATATATATATATATATTGCACCGCTCAGGTTCGACGACACAGCTTGCGCCACACTTTTGTTGCACTGCGCGCATCGCGCGACATAGCTTGGGCCGCAGATATTGTGCACCACCAAGCTTGCAGCACAGCACATAGATTGCGCCACGCAGGCTGCACTACAAATCTTGCAACGCAAATGCTACGCAGGCATCGTGAAATGATCGACTCTTCTGGGTCCACGCTGAGGGAACTCTTTGACTCTCGCAAGGGAAAACGCAACACGACTTTGTTCCAAGTAGTCCTTGGGGTGTAAACGCTTGTGTTTACAATGACGATGTCGATGTGGACGCCATCCTGGAGCTGCCCCACTCCGTAATATCGGAGCTCCTTGGGCTTGAACTCGAAGTCCGGGCCCAGTCCACCAAGATTTGAATGAGACACCCTACCTGCACCATCATCATTTGAATTTGAGAAATGGATCCAATCTTCACATGACCCTGGGCTATGCACGATTGGTTCTTCCACGGGGCACTCTCCTGGGCACACACAACACATAGTAGATGAGAAATCTTCATCGTCATAATACGGGTCGAGGCAGATACCTGAATACGGCATTTCAGGATCGTGCGAATAGACTTCGCAGGAGTTGCCACGCCTGTTCAGAGCCCCATTGTTTGTGTCTACGCACGGTGCTGGCGGAGGCGGCGCTGGCGCCGAACGTCCTGACAGTACTGCCGATGTCGCGTCGCGCATCGCTTGGCCCGCGTCGGTGCTGCCTGGGTCGCATCCTTGCAGGGACAGTACACCTTACAGGGAGCAGTTGCAATTTAGAGGTCTAACGTAACAGAAACAAGACTGTAAAAAAACGATGCACTTTACCATCGCGATCACACAACAACACATTACGTTTAAGGTCGGGAGCTTCTGCTTAGCGTGTCGCCGAGGCGGCCCCTGCGACACGCTCTGCCCTGTGAGCAGATAGCGTGTCCCTCTGCCACGGGGCCGGGAGGTTCGGAAAGGCTCAGGACGTGGAAGCCTAGGGATTCGGAACGAATAGCCCCGCGCCGAGGCGTGGTGGGGCAGAACTGGCAAAGCGACACGCTATCCAACAGCTCCCGACCGTAGGAACTCCCCACCGGAAACCTATGGTGACAGCCGCCTGGATTGCGATACGCGGTATAGCTGAACTGAATGAAGGCCTACCGCTCGGTAGCTCCATTTCGGTATCAGATCAGGCCTCCGCTCCCAGGATAATGCAAAAGTATATGAAGAAGTTGCCAGGAGTGTACTGGTGTGGTGTCATGCGACCAACATTGAGCCACACCTTTCAACCGTCGTCGTTGTCGTCGTCGCTATCCCCACTCTCCCCCCTGCCTCCCCTCTTGTTCCCCCTGCTCCTCCTCCTCCTCCTTCTCCTCTTCCCCCTCGTCCACCTCCTCCTCCTCCTCCTCCTCCCTCTCCTTCGCCTCGGTCGGCGGCACTGGCCGCAAGGCCCTCGCACTCTACGCACACCGCTGCTCCCCGAGGCCTCCTCCAGGGCGCGCCCCTGGCCAGGCTTCCCAAGCAACTCTCCGCGGCCGCGGCGGCGACCGTCCCTCCTCCCCCCACCCCGAGAGGCCCCGGCGGCGCGGAGACAAGAGAAGGCCACTGGCGTCCGTGCGACCCTCTCCGCTGAAGAGCTGAAGAGGAGGGGGGGGACCTCCTCCTCCCTCCCTCCCTCCTCCCTCCCTCCCTCGGCCCTCCTCCTCCCTCCCTTCTTCTGCTCTTCCTCTCCCTCCCTCCTCCTGCCTCCCTTCTCCTCCTCCTCCTCCCTCCCCTTCCTCCTCCTCCTCCTCCTACCTCCCTCCTCCTCCCCTCCCTCCTCCTCCCTCTAGTCCTCCTCCTCCTCCTCCCTCCTCCTCCTCCTCCTCCTCCTCCTCCTCCTCCTCCTCCTCCCTCCTCCTCCCTCGCTTCTCCTCCCTCCCTCCCTCCTCCCGCCTCCTCGTTCCTCCTCCTCCTCCCGCCTCCTCCTCCCTCCTCCTCCCTCCTTTTCCTCCCCCGCTCCCTCCTCCTCCCTCCTCCTCCCTCGTCATCCACCTCCTCCCGCCTCCCTCCCTCCCTCCCTCCTCGTCCTCCTTCTCCTGCGCCCTCCATGCCCCCCCTCCCGTCCTCCGCCCCTCCTCCCTCCTCGGAGAGCCCACGCGCACCACAGGCTCAAACCACGGGCTCCTCCGTCCTCCCTCCTCCCCGCGTCCTCCTCCTCCTCCTCCTCCTCCTCCTGTTTCGGGAGGGAGGGGGGGGGCTGCTCCCTCCTCGCTCCTCCTTGCGCCATCCTCCTCCTCCCCATCCTTCTCCTCCTCCTCCTCCTCCTCCTCCTCCTCCTCGTGTTGTTTGCTCTGGGGGAGGGTCCAGGGGGACCGCGGCAAAAGGGGGTGGGGTGACGTAAAACCCACCATGGTCCTCCATTTGCGTGATGTGGTGTGTGAACGTGTGTTTCAACTTCCGCAACACGTTGCCGACTGGACCCCCGCGAAGCACTTCGCAAACCAATCTAACCCACGAGAAAAAACTGTTTGGCACGAGATGATCAGCGTTACGTGTTGCGCTCTGCATTGCACCTCATGAGGCGCCGCAGGAAACATGCGAGGAACCCTTGCGCAAACGTGCTTTCTTCTGCTCCCCACCACTCTGGTGACCCCCGATTGCACCAAGCTCGCCCCCCAAACCGACGCTCTTAACCAGACTTCGCGCGACCGAGGTTGCATGCTCCATGCTGGCATCTTTCTTCAATGTCGGCTTCTAGGGGGCGCTTGTTTCTCGGGCTTTGGGAGAAGCTCGAGTGGGCATGGACGAACAACTGCCGTTGGGGACGTGTCGAGACCTCCTGGGCCCGCGGATTGATTGAACATTCACCATGATGGCAGCCTAGCAGGGGAGTTGGCCACAACTACTCCACCTCACCAACATATATCAGGAAACACTGCAGATAGTAGTGCCACCGGCAAACGAAGTCAATCTACTGAGTGAACGGAGCGGTAGCACGGCAAGAACATCCAGCCGAGCGGTGTCTACCTGTAGACCTGAGGCCGTTAGACTCCGCAGCAACAGACCCTCCACTCGACGGGTTTCTCGGACCCATCGGGCTCGCCAAACTCCCTGGGCTGCATGGACCTCGCTTCACTGACCCCATAGACCCCCAAGAATAGTAGCACTGTCTGGACTGTCTGAACTCCTTGGGTTTCCTGCGGACATTGCCTGGATCACACGTGAGCATGAACAATCCATAGGAACACTAGACATGCGAAGGAGTCTGTCAGAATGCATGGGAACCCATCGAAAGCCATAAGAGCACGTAGTCACACATAGGAATACAATGGAGGCGTCGGAGCACATATGATACAATGAGACAATTACGAATACACGGGAACACCTCAGCAAACTTACGAACCCATTGCCACACACAGAAACATGTCAAACACAGAGCCTACTACCGTACAAGATGCATCAATTCGAAGGCGCGCAGAACCGACATGCAGAGCCATACTTAGGGAGACCATTGATTCATTGCAATGTCGCGAAAACCGAAGAGCCCGCTGTCAGACTCGAAAACACATTGCCATACCTGGGGGTGTCCGTTGCCATTACCACGGAATCAACTAGCAGACCCAATGAAGCAATGGAACACCCCAAAATCGTGCAAGGACAACGTCGGATGGGGGGCCAACCGGGCCCGATCCCGACATCGAGGAAGACGGCAATTGGACGAGCCTACTTGGAACAAGTCCCACCACCATGCCTGGATGGGCACGGCGGTTGACCTCGGTCGCATGATCGGGGGTGGGGTGTGGCTCTTCTTACTTTGGACGGGCCCGCGCGAACTCGAGCGCTCGAGAAACGGTGGGGGGGCTGTTGCACGGACGAGCTCCCAGTACGGCGGCGGATGGCCCAGGCCCTTTGCCCCGAGTCGAGTCCCGCGGCGACCAGGGACGGAGGGGCGCGGCGCCTTGCCGCCAATGCCCATCTCGATGCAGTCCTGGCCGCTTTGGCCTGCCTCGCCCCCGTCCTGCTCGCTAGTCTCCTCCTGCTCTCCCGGCTCCTCCTGCTCGTTGTCGTCGTCCTCCTCGTCCTCAATGTAGTCATCGTCCTCGTCCTAGTTCTCGTCCTCCTCCTCGTCCTCGTCCTCCGCCTCCTCCTCCTCCTCCTCCTCCTCCTCCTCCTCCTCCTCCTCCTCCTCCTCCCCCTCCTCCTGCTCCTCCTCCTCCTCCTCCTCCTCCTCCTCCTCCTCCTCCTCTTCCTCCTCCTCCTCCTCCTCCTCCTCCTCCTCCTCCTCCTCCTCCTCCTCCCCCCAGCTCCATGAGACAGGTTCAACAAACCCTAAGCCAAACAACCTTGCCACCTCATGGGGGGCCGGATGTCACTTCTGAGGACTTCCGACGGCGGAGGCGCCCTCGTTTTCTTTCCGCTGCCATTCTCGGGGGCGCGCAAACATGGATTAGCGATCCATGGATTTGGCGCGCGGTCCCCAAATCCATGGATCGGGGGAGGTGTCCTCTCCAAAACGCGGCCGGTGCCACCTCGTTTGGCGGCGGACATCCGCGATTCCCCATGGAAACGGGACCCGTCGCTAATCCACGCTCCCATGATCCATGTTTGTGCCACTTGCCCCATCACAGCAGATCGCAACTCATCCGACGCCCTGGCCTTTCATAGCGGACAGTTAAAGGCCAAAACGCGTGAGGAACTGGGCAGGGCCCTGCTTTTCTTCTCACCGGCTGTAAGCAAGATCCAAACCAGAATCCTCGGGGCACCTCTCCCCAGACACGTGGCACCCTTGTGTGCGACGCCCGAACAAGAGCAACGAGATCCGAGGGTGACGGAAAACCATGCCCCGAGACCGTCCAGCCAGCAGACTGGCGAACACGACTGGGCAAGGCTCTGTGATGGAACCTCGAACGCTGCTGACGAATGTGGTTGGGGCCCAGGACAGCGGTGTGAGAGAGGCGACCCCTGCACACGCATAGCCTCCACACTTGATGCAGCACACCACCCACCCACTGCACGCCGCCCGCCCCCCATCTCTTGACGAAGGCGCTTGCCTTGCGAAGCGCACACGCAAGGTAATCTCGCTCAGCTGCTCAGCTGAGCCCTGGGCTTCAGGCTGGGCGTCAACCAACGATGGCACCTTGAAGTCTACGCGAAGTCCCCAATTATTGGCAGCGGCCCGCTCAGCTGCCACAGACTGACGGATCGATTCCATCTTGGCCTTCGGCCCTACCTATCATAGCCTTGGACCTTGAACGGGGGGGCATGCTCCCGACCCGACCTATCACAGATGGCCCAGGGAAACCCGGAGTGTGCCAAGCCCCTTTCAGCCATGATGACGTCCTGAAACCCGACACATCTTGGAACCTCGCCTTGGTGAGCAAACAGTTCGTCGCGCAGTTCCAACCGACCACCAGGCAGATGGGTAGATGGCTGCTCCTAGCTTAGCGTATATGTCCGCGCGCTGATTGCCCAGTCTTCCAACGTCAAAGCATCCGCCGATTTGGAACATTTGGCCTGGGGGCAAGGCCTTCACCTTGTGCGCACTTACGCCACTTGCAAAACAACTTGCCACGCTCTGGTCCAGGTGTGAGCCCGAGCAGTGCGGGACGAGCAGCTGCTGGTCCTGTCGCAAGCGCACCACGAGGCCCCTCGGCAATCCGCGGAACAATCGGCATCGGAAAACGGGTCCACGCGCCGAGCCGCCCTTTTGCAAGCGTAGCCCTCGCCGTCTCTAGCTTGCTGACGGGAGGCGAACTCTCTCGGGGCAGCCCCGTAAACGATGCAGACAATCTCACCGAGCTCAATCTCCTGCGCGGGGCTCCACCCCGCGCGTCTGGCTTGTTTGCGCGAGGGTTCGGGCACAATGCCGTCGGTGGAATTTTCCCCCGCTAGCATGCCAGAGGCTGGCTTGTTGAACCAAACAATGCCGCATTCACTATCCGAAAGCGGGGGTGCGACCAGTTCGCGAGTGCGGGGGGAGATGCCCGCGGCAAATTTCTCCTAGCCATGATTCCCATCCCTAGTCCTCTGCGCCACCTTCCTGCAACGTTGGAACAGGCGGCACCAACGATCAGCCTCGAGCGCCCCGCAACTGAACCTCCCGTGGAGCAGCGTGCCCTGGTCTGTCTTGCACAGCTGGCAGAGCTCATCTCCTGATATCCCCGAGCCATTCAGGCGCGCCTGAGTGTCCAGGTTGCCATGGCAATCGCGTTTCTAACACGCGCCTGGCGATGTGTTGCCAATTGAATGCCTGGCTCCTCCCCCGAAAAAACAAGGCCTGCATCTCGCCTGTTTGTGCCC